AATTTATAATCAGTCTTACGTTATCAAAATTATTTTTTTATGTGGTGTTTGAAGCGAAATATGATCATAATATTGTATATCGTAATTATTGAAAGATATTAAGATGTTAACAAATGTCTATAAATATTCGAACACTAAGCGAGATACTATACGTACAGAAGATTAAACGGAAAAGGAGCATTTCCTAAGAAATTCTTATTGGAAGATGCTTCTGCGGTTACGTTAAAAAATGCAAGGATTAACGAGATATATATGAATATTTATACACAAATAGTTTTAGACCGTGGACATTAAGCGTTATAAATAGTTTGTACATTATTCTGACAATTTCTGAAATTGACAGTTACATCCAGACTACAGATTTTTATTTGTTTATAGGAAATTCGAGGATGTAAATATATACGTAACATACAAAATTATATAGAATATCCGAGGTATAACTCTAGTCATACCAGACTATAGACTGTAAATAAAATCGCTTCAAAGTATTTCGAAAGTTACACAAACCAGGCAACAACAGCAAAAAGAGAACATTAAAATCACCCAAACCATAGACTTAAAGCAATTTTTCCTCCTCAACCAACATCTCCAACAAGCACAATGTGACAAAGTTTGTTGAAAGTACTCGAAACTGTCTTCGAAGTGTGCCGGAAGTAGGCGTGATTCAAGTTTCACGGCCGGAAAGACGGGTAATAGGGGCGGATCTTCGAAGTTTCGCGGACGAAAAGCGGAAACGCGTACTTGCTCGTTTGTGGCGCGTTCAAGTGGCTCACCTGAAGAAAAGTATGCACAAAAGAGCATCGTCGAGCGGATTTTTCTCCTCTCTTGGCGTGCTCGACCAGCGCAAAAATGGTTACAAGCCATCGATGCGAGCTCGTGGTTAATTTCGTACCCGAATAATGATCGTGCTGCTTCGTTTATTACCAGCTGCTAACACGAGCTTCCGTTTGCTGGCAATTTCGTTGAGCAAACAGTTCCGTTTTGTTGCGCAAAGTGCCTTTCGTATACTCGTTTCCTTGTTGTATCTTGCGTTAGGTCGGTTCAAGTTTCGTTTTTTCTACCTTTTTGTAGCTTTTGTCAGAACATTATTCGGTTATGGGTTTCTTCGTGGAATAAGGCAGAATAATTGCAGTCTGTTGTTGAAACGGTTTCGTTTTGTTACCGGAAACACGATTCAGGGGTTGCATTGTATCGCTCAGCGAGGTTGATTAAAATTGTACTTTTTATTTTGGCGAATATTTCTATCAAATTTCAGCCAGGTTTAATAGGTTCTTTTTAGCGGAGTGAAATTATGGCTATTGTTTCTTTTCGAGCATGTGTATACAATATGATCTCTTTGGGAATTCGTCGAATGAAATAATAATACTTTCGTTTCTAAATACGCAGGCGATATTATTAGATGCTTAGTTCTCAAAGTCTTGTAACATTTTCTTATTAAAGCTGGCAGAATTCTAATTTTTTCCTTAATGTGTAATATATTTTATGAGAAATTAAGAAAATTCTCTTTGATGGAATATTCGAAATAAATGCTTCATTTCTCTTAAAACTTTGTAATGAATTTATATATTATTCTTACATTTAGTACAAATCTATTTTCATAGAATTTTTCGTGTAAACTTTTCTATATATAATCTAAAGTATCATTTCTCATATTTATTAACCTAATTGAATTAAAACGCATTGAATTTCTTTGAAATGGTAACTCAGTCAAAATTTCACAGCCTTCATAATAATCTTGTTGCACTGTTTTTTAAGAATTTGCCGAATTGTGTCGAGATTTTGTTGATGAAACAGAATAGCCTTACAGGCTACGTATGTATTTTTATCAGAACATATGTCGGTTTCCTTTTGGGAGCTGGTATAACAGTTTCCTTCGTTACCAAATTTTTTATGCCTTTGTATTATTCAACCACCTTGGGGCACGTTTTCCGTGCCACGTGGTTTGCATTGTTATGTTCCATACAGCGGATTTCATTGCTTCATAAACATTTTACAACGTGCGCCTCATTATTGTTATAGCTTCCTCCATGTTCATATTTCACTCTATATCAAACATTTTTGCATCTCCGTGTGCTCTGTTTCGTCGCGCATTTTGTTTCTCGCGTGTCGCTTGCTTCATATAATTATAGAATTCTTCAATGTATTTCGTTCTTTCGCAAAAACCTTTCGCGCTACCCGTATACAATTCCCACCGACTTCGCATTTTATTTTGTCCCCGTTGCTTTTATTATTTCCTGTCACCGCGTGACATTATTGTTACGTTTCATTTACTCAAAGCCTGCAACACGTTTTATACAGTGTGTTCTCCAAGGTGTATATTCATATAACAGCGTATGCTATAAAATGAGATATACATAATATAATATACTATATTCGGTATATAATGGAAATGTAAATTTAATTATACATTTAATATGAAATACATTATTATTTCATATTAAATAATAATATTGTATTATAATAATAATCGTATTATGTACTTTATTTACATAATTTATCGTTTGAGAGTAACACGATCAAAAATATACCAATTTCCTTTCTCAGTACTTAAAAGAATGTAAGAATCTGCTAAAAACGATAGCTTAAAGACTTATTACTCATTAAATATACAATATAAATAGGGAGTAATAAAGTATATTATATTATCCATCTTTTAAAGAGAAAATCTGGTCTGATCCAATACTACATACTACATATTGCGGGATATCCTATGTAATATTTTATGTTATCGCGGATTTCTGTGGAATCAGCGTTCCTCTAAATTTTACACGTCCAGTATCAAAAGTCACAAAAAGAGAAAAAAATTTGTCAGAGGGAATCGATTTGAATCGTTGCAACAACTTTGCCCACCTTTACGTGTACAACTGCAAAAAAAAAAGCTGGCACTGTAGCAGGATTTAAGCGGAGCGTGAATTCCCTTTACAATCTGGAAACTCTGCTTCCACGTTTAACCTTTCCATGTTCTTTGAGTTATCCCCAATTCAATGTAATTTAACTTTCGATGACAAAATTTCTCTAATTTTAGAAAAAATACTCTTTTTTGGATATTTTTGGATTTGGAAAAAAATTTTTTATTGGATTTCATACTAAATATACAAATACTTATTTCTTAATAAAAAGATAAATTACTAAACAGCTACTTTTATTACTTGTGTAAATCATTAACAGAATTGTAACAAGGAGACACAGATTTAACACAGATATACTTATTATTCCATGAAGAAAGTGGCAAAAAGTTCCATGGAAAGAATTATTTACGCTTAACATCATTGTTCTATTACTAGAATTGTAGCACTAAAAAAATAATAAACAGTGTAATACAATAGAAAAATGTAAGTAATACATTTTTAATTATTTTGAAATTAAATATCTGTAGAGGACTTGTAGAGGATTGTAATATAGAATAACAAGAACTTGCTGTTGTAACCCATCAAATATATTTAAAAGAATTAAATAAATTAAAAAATATAAATACTGTCGAGAGACGCTCGTACAAGCGTATTTGCTAAGACAGTGTATAATTGCTCGCTGATAACTCGTAGATATTGATCGATACTTCGTAGATACTCGGTATATACTGATTCGCTCGCGATCGCGTCTGTTTATTTATACAGGTCGGGGAATAGCCGGAAAATTCAAATTCGTCTTTGTTCAACGGTTACACGTAGCAGCGACATTGTTTTGCCCGGAGTTTATTTATTATTACATTACGTGTATCTTAACGATCTTGATACTCCGAGGCAAAACAACAACATGATTTGAATTGTCCTCTACTTATTTGCCGCTACATATCGAACAAAGAATTATAATTATCCTGAAAAATATAATCCGAACATTCGGTAATATCCGTGTTGACATTGTTTCACGAATAATTCCAATTTCTACCGATGGAATCACACACCAAATTTTAGCAGGCTAAGACGATTCGACAACTGCCCGATAAGCTGTGTAATTTTATGTACATACACTTCCATTAAACACATACTACGTGACGGTCGATTATTTTTAACGAACAGTCCAATAGAATAACCCGGCGAATGAGATTTGCTTCTTCGTAATCGTCGCATGATTGCTTCTTTCAAATATTTTCCTTGCGGAAGAAAAAGAAGGCATTACCGGTTTTAACGTTCGCCAGTTGGAAATTGACCGGTTGAAAATTGGGTATTAAGAGCATGTAATGTCACGTGGCTAACACGAGCAGCTCGCGTGGAATTTCTTATTAAAGCGTACCGCGAAGACCTAGAAATTTCCATCAGCTACACCGCCGTAGGAAATTAGCGGCAAAACGAGCCCTTTTGCACGGAGGAAGTTCGAGCTAACGAGCTCGAAGTGTATATGCCCGGGGAAAATGACGTTGTAAAAGTGGCCTGCATGATCTAAGACGTTCCAAGACGATGAAGCGAAGTTCGCGACACGGCCATGCCCTTGTACGGCCGGGTAAAAAGTTTTAACGAACTGAAACGAGTAACCTGACGAATTTGCAGCAAAGCTATGCGGCGCGCTGCCAAGAAGTTTTATTTACACTGTTTTTTCCTTAGCCGTCGTTATTTTGAAAGTTACCGATACATCCTGTGTCCGACAATTTACGACTCTTAACCGAAACCTGCCTGAAACCAATCGGGAAACTCTTCGTCCAGACCGCGCAACGTACCTATTCCTGGTGTTTTCTTCCGTCGTTCGGCTATTGTTATTTGCACTGCTTTCGTCGCGAGCATTTGTTTATTCTACTGGAATCAACATGCTACGAGTTTCGGTGGTTTTTTTCTTCTAAGTAAGGTACTACAAGGTACTAACTTCTAACACTTCTAAGGTACTACAAAAGCAAGCTTCAACCGGTCTACGCAAACCGTTATGTCGTAATTGTTTACTTTAATTACGTATGCCTTTTCGCCTCTTTTTGTCGTATGACGGCTGTAAATCGCCTCATGGCGCAAGAATACGTACGGCGATGATTCTAATTTTTTGAAGACGAAGATTTTTCTTTTCGCCATGACACGTAACCGAGTATGGTCTGACTTCCTCCATCCGTTATTTTAGCCGGTTCGCGTATTCCGAATTGGCCCGTTAACTTGTTGATAGAAAGAATTCCGCCGGCAAGCGTATGCCGGTGCCGTAAACCATTTCGGCTGCCGTTGCGTCAAGGCCCTCCTTTATCGCGGTTCTAATGCCTAACAGAACGATCGGTAGAATTTCGACCCAGTTGCTCGAGTCGTGACACTTGATCGCCGTTTTGAGTTGTCTTTGTAGGCGCTCTACCATCCCATTAGACGCGGGATGATAGGCCGTCTTGCGCAAGTGCTTGATCCCGAGCAATTGGCATAATTCCTCAAATACACGCGATTCGAATTGATGTCCTTGATCGGTCGTGATTGTTAAGGGTACTCCAAAATGAGATATCCATGTAGAAAGGAGGGCCAAAGCAATGGTTGGCGCTTCCATGTCGGCAATGGGAACGGCTTCGGGCCAAGACGAAAAACGATCGATAAACGTTACACAATATCGATAACCTTGTGAGTATTCCATGACGATAATGTCTAAGTATATGTGTTCGAATCGGCCTGCTAACGCGTTGAACGTTCCGACGTGTGAGGATACATGCTTGGTGACTTTGCAACGTTGACACGGTATGCATTGTCGCGTCCACGTTTGACAATCTTTATTAATGGACGGCCAGACGAAACGCGTCGTCGCCAGTTTTTGCGTAGCACGTATCCTCGGGAAAGTTCATGTAACGATTGGAATACGTTGCGTCGTAACGGTTCCGGTACGAACGGTCGCAAGGTTTCGGTCGAAATATCGCAATATATACTGACATTTTGATTGGGAAATAGCAGCTTTTTGAGTTGCAGCGCACCAGAGCCAGAGTTAATAATTTCGCGTAGCTCGTTATCATTCTCTTGTGCTGCAGATAACGTTTGATAATCTACAGATTTCCCGATCGCTTCGATCCGGAATAGAGTGTCGTCTACGTTGTTCTCTATCTCTTTAATGTACCGATGACGAACACTTGTCAAGATTTTGGTTAAACGCGTATATTGGGGGTTTATGACCCGTATAGATCGCGAAATCTCTTCCTTCGACGGCGTGTCTGAATCGTTTCACCGCGGTGTACATCGCGAGTAATTCTCGGTCGTACACGCTGTACTTTTGTTGCGTGGGGGATAGCGATTTCGTCATAAAACCTAAGGGCTGCCAAGTATCGTTGACGCTCTGTTGAAGTACCGCACCTATGGCGTAATCGGATGCGTCGACAGCGAGGCTAACGGGTGCGCCGGGAATCGGATGCGCTAACATTGTCGCATCAGCTAAGGCGCTTTTCGACTCGCGGAAGCTCTTTTCAGTTTGTTCGGACCAATCAATGGACGCGTTGCATTTCTTTGTGCCTTTCAACAAGTCGTTGAATGGTTGAAGAATCTTCGCAGCCCCCGGTATGAAACGGCGGTACAAGTTGATCATACCGAGGTACCTTCGTAGGTCTTTAACAGTCGCGGGTAACGGTACTTTAACTATAGCGTCAACGCGTTCGGCTAATGGTTTTATCCCCTCGGCGGTTACGGTGTAACCGAGGAATTTTATTTCGCTCACGCCGAATTCACGTTTCACGAGATTTATTACGAGCCCGTACTCGTCAAGGCGTTTAAACAAAATCCGCAAGTGTTCGCGGTGTCGTTCTTCGTTTTCGGATGCAATCAAAAAATTGTCTATGTACATGTAGACGAAATCAAGGCCTTTCGTGATTTCGTCCACGAATCTCTGACACGTTTGGGTGGCGTTTCGAAGCCCGAACATCATGTTGGTCGCTTCGAAAAGACCAAAAGGCGTCGTGATCGCAGTCTTTTCTACGTCCTCCGGCGCGATCGGAATTTGATGGTAAGCGCAAACGAGATCGATTCTAGAAAAGATACGCTTACCATACAGATTCTGCGCGAAGTCCTCTATGTGTGGCGGTGTGTATCTATCCGGAATGGTGCGAGCATTCAATGCCCGATAATCGCCACAAGGTCGAATCCCTCTGTCCTTCTTTGGAACGATGTGTAACGGTGATGCCCATGGGCTTCTCGATGGCTGCATCACGCCTTGCTCTATCATGACTTCGAATTCCATCTTCGCCAGTTTGAGTCAGTCGGGGCGAGGCGGCATGGTTTGGCGTGGACCNNNNCGGCGGTCCGGGCGTCGTCTTGATATGGTGCTGCACACCATGCCGTAGAGAACTTCTCCGGAAAACGAGCGGTCTCGTTAAATTTGGAAATTCCGCCAGTAGTCTGTGGTACGGTGATTCTCCGTCGATGGTTTTGATTGATACTACGTCGGCTGTGGCGGCGAATCCCTTTGTCGACAGTTGTGTAGTCGTGTCAAGGAGCCGTTTATTTCGTGGGTCTACGAGCAACCCATAATGGCTCAGGAAATCGACACCGATGATGGGCGTTTGCACATCGGCAACTACAAAACGCCACTTGAAGGCTCGACGTAGTGATAGGTTGAGGGACACGGTGATGGTGCCATACGTCGGAATCCGCGTTCCGTTGATCGCGAACAGTCGCTTTTGTTCGCCGGTTCACGTATCTTGTTGCGCACATGTGTCGGCACCGGTGTCCATTAAGAATGAAATTTTCGTGCTTCTGTCCGTGACGAAGATACGGCGAGTTCCCAAGCCGTCGTCGTTTGCCGCGTTTACAGACGGCTGATCCCGTTTCTGATTCCAGGTGCATGGGAAGCGGCACTTCTTCGCGCCGTCCTAGAACGTCGCGTGATAATAACAGAGGCCGGGCTGTTGCGATTTTTGAGACGGCGTTCTATCGCCCATTTCTTCGTTCTCAAACTCCCAGTATAGTCCTGAACCGTTTGAGTCTGCAAATTCTGTACGAAGTTGGCTGTCGGTACTCGTCATCTTGAACTCTTTTATATTCTCGGTGTTTAAAATCTTGATAGCATTCTCACAATTACCTCTTTCGCTTAGATCACGTCAGGGTCACCAATGTAGAGCACTTGTAATATAGAATAACGAAAACTTGCAGTTACAACCCGTTAAATGTATTTAAAAGAATACATTAATAAATATAAATACTGTTGAGAGACGTTCGTACAAACGTATTCGCTAAGACAGTGTATAATTGCTCGCTGATAACTCGTAGATATCGATCGACACTTCGTAGATACTCGGTATGTACTGATTCGCTCGCGATCGCGTCTGTTTATTTATACTGGTCGGGGAAGAGCCAGAAAATTCAAATTCGTCTTTGTTCAACGGTTGCACGTAGCAGCGACATTGTTTTGCCCGGAGTTTATTTATTATTACATTACGTGTATCTTAACGATCTTGATACTCCGAGGCAAAACAACAACATGATTTGAATTGTCCTCTACTTATTTGCCGCTACATATCGAACAAAGAATTATAATTATCCTGAAAAATATAATCCGAACATTCGGTAATATCCGTGTTGACATTGTTTCACGAATAATTCCAATTTCTACCGATGGAATCACACACCAAATTTTAGCAGGCTAAGACGATTCGACAACTGCCCGATAAGCTGTGTAATTTTATGTACATACACTTCCATTAAACACATACTACGTGACGGTCGATTATTTTTAACGAACAGTCCAATAGAATAACCCGGCGAATGAGATTTGCTTCTTCGTAATCGTCGCATGATTGCTTCTTTCAAATATTTTCCTTGCGGAAGAAAAAGAAGGCATTACCGGTTTTAACGTTCGCCAGTTGGAAATTGACCGGTTGAAAATTGGGTATTAAGAGCATGTAATGTCACGTGGCTAACACGAGCAGCTCGCGTGGAATTTCTTATTAAAGCGTACCGCGAAGACCTAGAAATTTCCATCAGCTACACCGCCGTAGGAAATTAGCGGCAAAACGAGCCCTTTTGCACGGAGGAAGTTCGAGCTAACGAGCTCGAAGTGTATATGCCCGGGGAAAATGACGTTGTAAAAGTGGCCTGCATGATCTAAGACGTTCCAAGACGATGAAGCGAAGTTCGCGACACGGCCATGCCCTTGTACGGCCGGGTAAAAAGTTTTAACGAACTGAAACGAGTAACCTGACGAATTTGCAGCAAAGCTATGCGGCGCGCTGCCAAGAAGTTTCTTGAAAGAACGTGTGTTCGGGGAAAGTACACGATGATATTGAACGAGTATCGTGTTGCGGGAATTTTTTAATGAGATGTGACAGGTTGATTCTCTGCAAGGTGTTCTGCAAGATACATTTTGGTGTATTTCAAATTTTACAAAATATCCTTTTGTTTCAGAATCAGAGATTTTGTAGAGTTGTTCATTGCACATTCGTTTACTTTCCAATTATGAATTACAAATTAGGCAGGAGAGATGGTAATTTCATAGTGACTCGATTTTTATAATCGTGCGAAGATATTATCCAATAATAATACAAAACTTAATACACATAATCAATTAGTATATAAATGTTACAATAAATATAATAATTTTCGTAGCCACTGTATGTTCAAGTTATTGTACAAATTACGTCAGAATAAGGATCAAAGCAAGCAACCAATTGGTTCGTGTCTACCTAACAGTTGCATCGCAGCTACAGTCGAACTTTTGATCGGTGCACTTTCATCAAGAAGGAAGATCGTAATTTCCCGTGGCCTCGGGGAACACGTTGGCGAAGGGGTATGGTGCTTGTTGAAACGTCACGCGGATACGGGGCTCGCGTTCACGTCGACCGTACTTACGGCGACTTATGTAAGGGTGCACGTAAGTGCAGCAAATTGCTCGTAAAACGTGCCCCGGGTGTTAATTTAGCCCGCTAGCGTCAAAGTAAATACGGAATTACTTTCGAGCCGTAAGTAACACGGGTCTGGACGTGCGTGTCACCTCTTTCTCCGTCCTCTCGTCTCCACGTCGCGAAGGATCACGTTGAAGCGTGGTTCCAGTGCTTCTTTAAATCTGACCAGGTGCAATTCGAATGCCAAAGCGTCGTTCACAGAACGTGAACCGGGTTCACGTGGCTTTTTTTCGCCGCAATTACCGCATGTCAGCCACTTTGCATGCGAAGTTCGCTACTTTGAACGACCAGAATGGCTACTCGTGGGTAAAGGAACGTTTTCGAGTTGAAAATGTGTGGGTCGAGGACATGTCGCGGTAAGCAGACGCGACAGGGGAGTAGGCTGGATCGGCTACTTTGGAAGCAGTGAAATTCAGCTTTTCTATAGCTTTTGCAGTTTTCAGGTTGGAAATTAATCACAGATGTTGATGGCTATCTAGTAGAAATAAGAGACGGTATATTCGATTCGTGATAAGAATTTGAATAGGTTAATCTTGCTGCGTTCTTTCAGTCATTTTCAATTGAATCATATTTTTTTTAATTCTTTCTTTTCCTCGAAAATTATAAAACAGTAAGAACGCTAGAGAGAGAGAGACGTCGCAAATTAATGGGATTAAGCTGTAAAGATAGAAATCGTCATCGAAGTTGAAACGTGTGGCGTGTTCGGCTCGCTTTTACTACGATTGCTGCACGTGAGATGTTTTGTATTCGATAACCCAACTCCCAAGCAAAGTAGATGCACGGCAGCTGAGTGTGGTAAATAAAAATGAAATTTTTAACGCGAATTTTGACTACTATGCATCAGCTGTACCTAATCTGTTTAATTAAACTTAACTATTCTGTCCTATATAATCTAGCAATATATGTTTAAGATTTGTCTCCGCGAAAATGTCACGTAGTAGTTTTATTTAAAGTAGATCTTATAAAACTTTCATGTACCGGAATGTGCTGGAAAGCAGCTATCAGAATTTACACTATCCCAAAACAGAGTCACGGAAACTTCATAAATTCTCAGCAAATAAAAGAAGCAAGGTCTTAAATCTTGCACCATATCGAGTATTCCATTCTCAAACAAGGCCCATCGCCACTGCCTGAATATTTACAATCGAAAACAGCGTTCAACAACTTCAGCGTCTCACAATAAACCGATATTTATGAGACACCCTTTAGATAGTGATGGACTTAAGCAT